AAGAATTGTACTACAACAAATTTGAAAACCTCAAAGAGATGGATATATTTCTAGAAAAACATGACCTACCTAAACTTACTCAAAATGAAGTAGAAAGCTTGAACAAACCCATAACAAAAGAAGAAATTGTTCAGGTCATCAAAAAACTCCCAACCAAAAGAAGTCTAGGCCCAGATGGCTTCACTGGTGAGTTCTACCAAACATTCAGGGAAGAAATGTCACCAATTCTACTCAAATTATTTCAGAATATAGAAGAGGGTGGAAAACTCCCTAATACTTTTTATGAAGCAAGCATAACCCTCATACCAAAACCAGGGAAGGACATTACTGAAAAAGAAAACAATAGACTAATATCCCTTATGAACATAGAAAAGTGGAGATCAGAACCCTATCCAGAGAAGCAGTGATGCCAGAGATGGAGGCAGAGACAATGACATGGAGAGATGGAGCAGCTGAGGACTTTGGACCCAGAGAAGGAGAGGGGTTGTGTGCTGACGACTAGGGGACAGGCTTGCGGGGTATACCCTTTGGTTGATTGATGATGCATGGAGGGGATTGTAACCATGGCAAGGAAACGATATACAATGGGATCAATGTGAAGCTAATGTGCTCCCATGTAAATTATCACATAACTCACAAAAAAGCATTAAAAAAAAAAAAAAATCTATCACGTGATCTCCATTATTGTTTCTATCACCAAGGCTGTATTTTCCAGCTGCTGACCCTTCTTCTTTGTTTCCAACCTTCACATTCATATCACTAGTAATTATCAATACAACTTGAATGCATGTTTGAGGAGTATCAGACTAAAGAAGTTGACAAGAGTTCTTCAATTTCATCATCACTGGCTTTAGTGGTTGGTGTGTAAATTTGAGTAACAGTGATATTAACTGGTCTTCCTTGTTGTTGTTGTTGTTGTTAAGTACTGTCGAGTCCATTCTGACCCATAGCAACCCTGTATAGGGTTTCCGAGGAGCAGTTGGTGAGCTTGAACTGATGAAGCAGTTCAAACGGCTTTACAGTCTGGCACATTAACTTACATGGATATTAACCTATCACAGACAGCATTATACTTCAAGATGGATCATGAAATGTTCTTTTGGCCATTTCCAGCAGAGTAAACTATGTGTTTGTCAGATTCAAAATAGCCAATACTAGTCCATTTCAGCTCACTAATTCTTAGGACATCTATGTTTATGCATTCCATTTCATTTTTGACAACTTTCAATTTTTCTAATTCATACTTTGCACATTCTGTGTGCTGACTACTGATGGGTGTTTGCAGCTGCTTTTCCTCAATTTAGGTTGTGCCCCACCAGCAAATGAAGGTTCAGAAAACTTTACTCCATTTGTGTCATCATGGCCAACTCTACTTTTTGAGTGCCTTCAGACCCGATGGGCTCATCTTTCTGCATCTTCTGGTAGTGTACTTGGTAGTGTTCTGCTGCTATTCACAAGGTTTTCTGTGGCTAAGTATTCAGAAGTTGTCTGCTTTACCTTCTTCCTAGTCTGTCTTAGTCTGGAAGCTCTGCAGACACCTGTCTACCTTCTAGCATCATAGAAAATGCAAACCACCACAGCAAGACACAATGACAGAAAAATGGTGCCATTCACCAGTATGACTATATTCCCATTAAAGGAATGAAAAGCATAAACAAGGAAAGAATAGGCTTATGAT